AAAAAAAAAAATTAAAAGAAGAAACACATAATTAAAAGAAAAAAATAAACAAGACTAAGGCCTCTGAAACTGGAGTTTTTATTCATTCACCAAGGCCTAGCGGTGTTTTGATCAGATGAACTTAAAAGCTCTTCCAAATAATCAGCTCCTAAATCTTCCAACACCACCACATTTTCTATCCTCACTTCTCTCTCTTTCTTCTTCTTGTTTATCATTTTCTTCCTCATGGAGTGTTTTCTCTTGAGTGCCACCACCGGTGAACACCCTTCCTCCATGCCACACTTCATCTCTCTTAGAGATTCTTGAACCCTTTCCACCGGAAAATTGAGTATAGCCGATGAACCCCTCATTGAAAAAGCAGCTTGATCGTAAGCCAAAGCAGCTGCTTCTGCACTATCAAATGTCCCTAACCAAACCCTAATCCCATGTCTAGTTGAATCCCTTATTTCTGCCGCAAACTTCCCCCATGGCCTCCTCCTAACTCCTCTATAGGATTTTTCTTTACTCGGATTCTCCTCAATTCCCCAACTCACCTCTTCTTCCTTAACTCTATTGGTAGACGTAGCTTCTTGTGTGGCCTCAGCTATTAGTCCGTACAGAAGCATTTCTTCCGAGTCATTTTCATTGAAAGGAAGAGAGCTGTTATTGAATGAAAAGCTCTGAGAGAAAGATTCCGGTGACCCAAAAGAGGACTCCGGAGATGAAATTGAATTTGGGGAGGGAAAGAAGAATGAATCCATGGTAATTGGATGAGAATTTTTGTGGTTTTGGTGACCGACTCTGTTTTTGGACTCTCTGTTTTCTTCAGTAGCGCATGTTTTTCAGTGTCCAAAATTAGGCGTGGACCCTTTATATACTCTGAGAAGTAATAACTAAAGGCTAAAATAGGAAGTAATGGTGAAATTACCAAATGGGCACATAATGACATTATTTTATTTGGCAAGGAACCAGTGGGTTAAATGAACACATGGGTCAATTGGGAGATGGCGGCCAGGTCAGCAAAAAAGTTTTGGCTGACGCCAGCCAGTGATTTGAGTTTTGTCGTGTTGGAGAGCTGCCATGGACACTGCCCACTTGTTATAATTATATCCACATAAACGATATTGATTTTCCTCCTTGTGAGTCGTGACCGTTAAATTGCTTACCTCTTGAGGAATTTTTCCATTTTCTGTTATATTTTAGAAGACAAAGAGATAGAAACACAAGGAGAATTTTAATATTGAAAAGTAAATGAGAACATTTATTTTTTTTTCTTAAGATTGAAAATAAAAGGTCAATTATGTCATGATTAGAATAAGAAATTTCATTGAATTTGAAACCAACATTCGTTTCAAATAAATTGGAAGTTTAATTTTATTTTAATGCTTGTTTCATCACCAATCTGGCCGATTATCCCGGCCTCCATTAATAAATCCTGTTCATCTCAAAATTTGGTCTACGGTTAGCTTAATCTAGCAATTATGTTTTTATGCACCAAAAGTCCTTGATATGGCTAACATCATATTCACCTCATACTTTTATCATTTAAATTATAATATGTAATTAACGATGTGGTTTGAATGGAGGCAACCTTTTTGTCTTCTATCCTAATTTGTTTCTCTATTGAAATACCTTATATTACACAAGCATTACTAAATTTATACACCTTTTACATAGTTATAATAAGAAAATCCCTATGGATTACATATATATTACATTTGCTTCACGTCTCTCCACTCTACTTAACTGGGATTCATGTGAAACGACATGGCAATAATCATATATAGCTGCCAACTCCAACTCCACGTATCACTTCTTCACTCTATTCGCCTCTTTTCAACTGATAGTGACTTGTCATTTACACATTGACAAGGCCTGAGCAGCCAAAATTGTCTTCTTAAAGAATTGTTTTTTTAATTTTAATTTATGGATCAATTATATCAAATCGTTATCCTATTCCTAGGCATATAGCCTATCATTCAGAAATTGAATTTGATGGCTTAAAAATTATGGTCCAGATACAGGTCCCTTGCCTTGAATCCCAATTCCAAAAATAACACTATTTCAGTCTCCGAAACAAAGAGGGAAATTGTTTGTTGAATGTTATAAAGTCCTCCACAAAGAATGGATAGGCATTTGTAGCTTTGTAGTTGGAAATTTGATTGTGACTACTCAGTAAACCTTTTCTTAATAGGCAGGTTCTAGGAAACCCCGTTCTGGGATAATTTTCTTTTCAAAGTTTCTCAGTGGAAATATGATACTACTACACTATATGAAAAAAATTTAAATATAAAAATAGGTTTGTGTCACGTGAGTGGCAACACAGTGGTTGTCCTGGAGCAAAAGCTGCAAAACTCTGTCACTCAGTCTGGAATGGAACAGATCCATCCATCACTATAATTTTGACGAACCGGTTAGGCGGAGGATGATGCGTACAGATGGCCATAGGGAATGAGATTCATGGAACATGGTCCGTTTTGAGTTGATTGCTCACATGTAACTTGAGACAACGAAACAAAGGACCCACCTTCTCCCACCCGTGCCCTTTCCACCAACCTAGACTTAATCCTCAGTTCAAGCCGCCCGATAGACCTTCCTTTCCTCCTCCTCTAGTCTTTCTCTTTCGTTTTCAATTTTCTAACCAAGTCTTCTTAATTATCACTTTAATTAATTCAATAATTTGTATTACTTCATCATTAAATATAAGATATATATTTTTTAACATGTCATAAATTAATAAATTCAAATATAAATACTAAATTAAAAAGTATATAATTTAATTTATTCTAAAATGTAAATTAAATTTAAAAAATTAACTGAAAGCTATCTTTATTTTATATTATATTAAAATATACATCAAAAGATTCTTTAATAGGAAATATGCAATGAATTAAAATAATGGTAAGAAGAAAGTTCAAATCCATTATATGAATATTTAAATATGAAAAGAAGAAAGTTCAAATGAGTCATGGTCTAGTAAGAAATTAAATTCTATGGGCCACTTCCACATAACTAAAACAAATTCTCGTTGGATAAAAGGAATTGAATCAAATATCGAATCATATAAAGAACAAACTGAAACTATAATATATGCTTTGTTAAAAGGGGACTAGGTTAACTTTTGATTTGATGTAATTGGTACATGAACTTGAACATTTAATATGCAAGTCAAACAAATCTTATCAATTCTTTTTATATTTATTTTAAATGTGTTCAAGTTAATCTACTATCAAATATCAATACCCTAATGCATAAGAATGTGGCTTGTCCAGAT